TAGTCTATCATATATAGCCTTCCTCATGAATGGGCTATACAATCCAAAAACAAAATAATTTTGCGATAGAAATTTAAATAGTAGATCCATGCTTCAGCACAATTGGGCCATCACGATCGGAGAACGAACCACGGCCTCACAGAAAACCGACGTGAAACAACACTTGCGTTGCATTTCGACTTGTGAATGAGGTTCCCGGAGGCCTAATCTCGCCTATCCCCGAATCCATAACAATCCTAAAATTCCTCTTCTCCAAAAGGCCGGTAACGCACTTGTAATTCCTCTGGTGTTTCGGTGTTTCCATGGGCAGCGCCGATCGCTTACTATCAGGTGAACCGTTTGCACGTTTACTTGCTTAATCCATAAAAAGCATAATAACTAGCATAACTAAAATCGCGAGTTACTCACGTGAATATACTAAGAAAAGCTCTACTAGTTCGAACCACAGAGGAGCGTGCGCGGTCGCGACGACGTCGCGCAGCTCATGAGGAAGAACCCCTCTGTGGTTCGAAACTATTAGAGCTTTTCTCAGTATAGTTACGTGATTAACTCGCGATTTTAGTTAATTTAGTATGTCTCACGATAGTTATTATAAAAACATAATAACTAGTTGACAGCGGCATGAACACTATTTTCATTTAATGATAAGCTCGGTCATAGGCCGTCTATTGTTTCAACAAATTGTGTTGTAAACCAACCTCCATTAATTGTTTACTTCACTAATTACTGAAATTATAATTATCTTTTACAACCTATCTGTGTTCATTTAAATAACTATGTTCTAATTATTTTAAAATTATTTGGAATGAAGAGTGGTGTAAGCATTTCAAATGTAATTCAAGCAAAATGTGGTTTAAGACAATATAATTTCGTTTGAGACCTAGTTAATTAATATTCTTTTGACTAAAAAGAGTATTAATAGAATCGGTTGAATTGTTTTCCATAAATGTTAAATAAAGATATCATTTCTTATTATAATAACTATCTTAAGATATATAAGATAGTGACTGTCTCGTTGGCCGAGTGGCGATCACCGGCGACCGACATTAGCGGAGGATTCCCCTTCAACAGTTTTTATTGGCAGTCAAAGCCTTAACTAAAAACCGCGGTATACTCACGTAAATATACTAAGAAAAGCTATACTAGTTTCGAACCACAGAGACAGAGAGGCTCTTCCTCAGCACGATGTTATATTCACATGATTAACACGCGATGTTTAGCTAAGTGTTTATTTAAGACATCATTTATTAATATAAAAGGTAATAAATACTTATATTTATTTTTATCTTTTTCGCAGTTTGTTTTTAGAGACGGTAAATAAATAGGCAATATTTACTGTAAACAACCTTGAATAAAAACTATAGCATAAAACAAAATGAACATATCAGTCAAAACTCACTGGCTCGTATTTAACACAAACTTTTAACCACTTTAGTCATTATTTCAAAGTCGCGTTACCTCTCTGATCTAATACATTAGGAAAGGTTAACTTTATCCCTATAAATTGCCGATTAAGAAGTAGTGGTCAGTATAAGGAATTATGAATAGGGGTGATTAGAGGTTATATTTTAGTATAGAGGGTTAAATCGACCCGTATTAGGGCGGGTCTTTACTAGATTACAGAAACTTTTAATACCTATGTATAACTACTACCTACACGTAATGATTTTATTATATTTATATATCCCGCTGGCCGGTAAGACTGCACTCGGGTCTGGGCCGTTAGATCGTATATATTTTAGTCAACTTTAGCCTGCTATTATTTATAATACCTGGTTAAGGGCCAACTATTCAATGCTCAGATAAATTTTAACTGAGGAATAAATTACAATATTTGACAATTCTTCCATACTAAAAACTGTCAACTGTCAATTTTATTCTACAGTTAAGAATTAACTGATGATTGAAAAATCGGCCCTCAGGTGATTAATTTATCACATTGACTAAGCAGTTTGGTTATTATGTATAATGACCCGTCATTATGAATAATATCAAATTCATCACTTTAGCTGTAACATATATGCATATATATGCTTGTATATTCATATCTTGTTTATGTTAATATTTAATTTCTATTTTATTATTGTTATACTTTGTTTTTTCTTTGTTCTTGTATTTACTCTTGTAAGTTTATTATTATTGTTTTGCATTATATAAGTGTCTGTATTTTTTTAAATTACCTTATATCTGTGTGCGTGTCTACTGTCGAATAAATGCTTTTTCTTTCTTTCTTTCTAATGCGGTATTTTTGTGTCCAATGCATTGTGTCCCATTGTAAACTGCTTCTTTCGGTGTCTGTCCTTGAGTTTGACAAGATAAAAATAATATAGTAATATTACTCTCTGGAATAAGACAAAATTCAAGCGCAGAATTGGAATAGTCCATCGACTTTTGACCAGTCATGTTCCTAATAAAATGTTGCTAAGAATATTTGAGAGATTTTTTTATTGAAAAATTAATATCTATCTTAATGCGTCATGCCCATGTATATAACTACGATGTCAAAGATCAATGCAGCAATCAGCAATCAACTGCTGAAATAATTATATTAGCCGTATACACTAAGATCATATCACGTTTAACCTAATTATAGGGTTTTAGTGAAACTAGAGATCTAGTCTAGATAATCACATAAAGGTAGACGTATCTAGGCAAATCTTATTATAGGTAAGTACACAGATTATACACAGAACCAACCTCTTACACGCATATACATGTAACCGAATTAATTCTAACATAAGTTTAGATGTTATATTAATATTATATATTCAATTAAACTTTAACTTAATAGCCAAACTCGAGTTTGGATTTCATAACTGCAAATTGTTATTATTATTATTATACATGTAATAGTGCTACGCCATATTACGTATGTCTGTGTGCCAGCGATAAACTCCAAAACTACTAAAGGCATTTTAATACGGTTTTCAAGGGGTTGAGCGATTTAAAGGGAAGGATTAGTATGTAATTTATTACGGTTGCAAATATATGTGAACCGAATGACGTCAAGCTTTGTCGCTATTAGGTTGGTAATGATAAGACCATAACTATATCCACTTCAAGTCTCAAGTTTGAAAGGTGAATCGAATGTACATTTCCAATATCACTATCAAAAATCTGTATTGCCATATACCGGGCACAATTCCAGACTCCGTGCTACTACTGAGATTTTTTATAAAACCCAGTAATACTTTGTCCGACCCGGGAATCGAACCCGAGACCCCTTGCCCGGCAGTCGCACATGCGACCACTCGACCAACGAGACAGTCCTATTACTGTACTGGAAAATTAAATACCTCCATAACAAGGGGTGGCAGTACTAAAAGTTAGGAACACGCCATGGCTTGGCTAGTTTTTGCTTTGCTTCAATACTTTTGCGAACACAATTTAAATTCCCAATGTAGTACAACTTGCTGTATATATTTGGAACTTGTCGGCCGCAAGCCAATTTGTATTGAGCTAGGTCAGGTATATTCGTTTTGTTTTAGAATAGTTAATTTTATTGTGTTTTTCGTTAAGAGTCATTTTTGCATGGGCGGGTCCCACGATTGATAAAATGGTTTCATATAAACATTTTCTAGGATAATACCTCAATTAAATATAAGTTGTTCATAAATTGCAATTAGTCGACTTAATAGTCACAAGTAAGTGTAGGTACCTAATACTTGAGGACTATGCGTGCTACTAAACGTTCTTCGATAAATTGGAATATCAAAATCATTAATCATTAAGTTACTACGTATAACTTCGAATACCTACCTAAAACTAGCTTCATAATAAACTAAACAAAATCAACCTTAAAATATTGTAACAAAAACCAAAACAAATTTTCGGCAACGATCTTCATTTACCTTAACACAAACTCGAAAACGACCCATTGTGGGTTCTCAATAAGAAATCACGGAAGGTATCCTTGTATAACGAGGAAACGATCATAATATTCCAAGTTTCCCGTTCCCAGTGTCCTATTCCACGTTCCCTGTTCCCGTTGTTCCTGTGTAGACGAAGGTGTGAACACAATAGCGCAATCAACACGAGCGGAAATATTTCTGATAATAATGAACGGTCTAACTAGCCACATAGCCTGACAAAGGAAATAACTTCCCCGTTATATATTTCTATTCAAAGTATTAACTATCTAACGCGTTCGCAGCTGTTCAACTTTAATACGTAGCCATTTTATTATGAAACATTGTTGAAATGTTTTCGTTTAGCTGATTTATTTGTTGTTGCGTTGTTTTTGTATCGAAATATTTATTTGACTGTCTGTCGGTAGAGGTAGATGTGGTATTGAAGTACAATGAAATTAAGCTTTCCAAAGCCGAAAGTAGTTATAATATCATTTTGAACCCTTCACTAAAAGCCAAATTTAATTTCAGAAAACGTTTCCATGCCATCTAATCCAACTCATTCATAATGCAGACTTTTTTACCTAAAAATAGACTATATATTAGTATACTGAACGTTCGAACAATATGAATAGAATATATTCTCCTATGTACATACACCAATATATTTGTCATCCCACGCAAGACGAAGAGTAAATCCAAGAAAATAGGTCAATGCGTCGTGGAGAGGTTAGAAGCCACAATGTCTGTTGAACCGGGTGTTTATACCACTCAAGCAATGTTGCAAGTGAACATAATGTTTACATACCTGGCACTGAGATAATACAACAACTACTGACAAGTACGCCTATAATAACTTGTCAACAAATAAAAACAAACAGTACGTAGTAAACGCCAATATCGATCGAGCCCTCGATAAGCTGATGACACATCTAATTTATATTAATGATACACGTTGACATTGATATTCCAGATATCTAAATTCTGATAAAAATTCATAATGTGACAGAAATTTTCCGTCCTTCTAAACATATTGTACAGCGCTGTGCTAATTATTACACATATTTACCCGTTTGTCAATTAGCTGTGCCATATGCGGCCAAGTTCCGTTGATAAGGGTCTAGTGCCCTTGCTTAGTTATCTATCGCCTACATGAATGTTACTAGACATACTCGCAAGGCTGTACTCGAAGAACTCGCCGTATCGTAAGCCACGAACTTGATTTGCATGATTATCGTTCTGTTTGCAAAATACGTCCCACACGTTGTCGTATTTATGGGATGATTTATTTTAGCCGTTATATTATTAAGTCTAGTGATCTGCTTTTATGCAGTTGATAAATAACATGTACTTGTAAATTATAACACCACCTGGTTAAACCGGCGATAAAACTGGTTTATATCATATCCGATGCAAACAAACATACTATTCTCGCACAAGGTAGTAAATATATTTTTATTTCCAGGACCGAGCGGACGGAGGACACCGTATCCAGCAGTGGCAATCTCACCAACAACGCAGTGCGACATAAAATAGTAGTACTAGGAGCTGCGAAAGTCGGCAAGTCCTCACTCATATCACAGTTTCTATACAACACGTTCTCTCCAAAGTACAAGCGAACCATAGAGGAAATGCATCACGGGGACTTTAACGTGTCCGGCGTGAGACTAACGCTCGACATACTAGACACGTCAGGGGCTTATGAGTTCCCTGCAATGAGGACATTGTCTATGCAGTCAGCTGACGCGTTCATTCTCGTCTACGATATCACAGACGCCAACAGCTTCACAGAAGTGAGGACTTTGAGAGATCAAATTCATGAAACTAAAGACAGCACGGCCGTCCCCATTGTCGTAGTCGGCAATAAAGTGGACCTGGCGGAAACTGGCGCGAGACAGGTAAGCGATTCACTTCTACGTCAAAGAGATCAATCGCAATATCTTGAAATGAGGTTTCTTTCTGCCTCACATGATATTGTCAAGAGACGTCTTTTCTATGAACAATCTCAAATGGTCGTCTGTAATTTTAGGTACCCTTTCTTCGCATCATATCCTTTGTTTCTTGTTCAATATTTGCTAGGTATGTTTGTTATCTGTGTGTACAGTGTACAGCTACACAATTTAGTGTGATGAAGGCTGGATAACAAAGTAACGGGTGAAGCGGATCAAGCGAGTGTCACGTATCACATAACCCGGAGGGATATGTTCAAATATTCAAAGAAATCTATCGGCTGTAAGCTGTACAAAATCTTCTCGTATCGACAAATAAAGCATTTGGTTGGATAAAAGCTTGTCTTATCGAGATTTGTTACGATATCAGTATATAAACAAGTCTCGCAATATACAACCTGTAATTGAAAAACGTGTGTCATAACATATCCGAGTGCAAATAAAATATATGTACCAAGTTCTACCGTCACAAATCTCTTAAAACGATCTCGAGAATTTGACTGCGCATTTACTATGAAGTCGTTTCTAACGTGTTGTGAGGAAAATTGAATTTCCGCGATGTCAGAAGTTGCAATATGTGAGCGAAAGGTCGCAGAGAAACCTAACAACCGAGGTACTTAGATACTCCCCGGATGTCGCGAGCTCAAATGAAATGTTGCTCTCGAAATGATGCAGGAGGCTTTATTAAGACTAGCGTTTGCAGAGACAAGTCCTTATTTAGATTTAAAAGAAAGTACTTTTCCTGAGATTTATCATTCAAATAGCATTTCTTAAATGAGAACGAAGAGAATGTAAACATTGACATAAATGAAATTGTGTTTTAATATTAGACACTCATAAAATATAACTTTAACACAAAGTATACTGCGGAGTACACACACACATGTATGTGTGTAACACCCATACACAAGTAATATGAACTATTGCGGAAGCTGAACATTAAGTATCAAACAATGTGTTTATGTTTCAAACAAAGGATTTATATTGTTTACGAAGTGATTAAGCAAACGTGAATCATGCAGTTTATCACAACTAGCTCTACCATGCGGTACCTAACATAATGTAGCATACACACATAATATCATTGAGAGATTTATTTAATAATTACCCCCTACTTCCCCAATCTCCGTAATCCCTGATTCCCCAACAATCCTCGAATTCCTAATCCCGAAAAGGCCGATAACGCACTTGTAACGCCATTGGTGTTCGCTTGTAATGCCATTGGTGGTCCCTGGGCGACGCCGATTGCTTACCATCAGGTGATACATAAGATCGTTTACCGGCTTATCCAATAAAAAATGTAACACTGGCGTATGAAGGAGTAACTACGATTACTAGTAAAAATCTAAAGATCGAAATCGAAATTAATCATGTGATCGCTAAAGCAAGGACGACGAAAGATTTTGAAACATTTTCCAAAATGTTTGAATTTATGAATCTCTTAAATAATTCTCAATTATTTTTTCATCACAATGAAGCGGAAAACACGTTACCTAAAGATATCCTTAACGGAAATTATAATTTGGGAAAATACGAAAATAAAAACTCAATTGGTAGGTAGAAAAATAAGGAAGCTGTGACGGTTTTCGTTGTTTAATTTTAATTATTTAATCATCATTGTTTGTTTTATATTGACAGTCTGTCAGTCTGTTTTCTTTATATCTGATTTAATTAATTCATTTTCTTTTTAGAAGATTTTATTTCCCATAATTTGTAATACGATACAAGCATATAATGTTATTGTACTTTTCCAATTTCATACTTCATGTGGTTTATTAATATGAGTTTGACATACTTACTTACATCCTTTTTCGTTAACTAATTTTCGTAAACAGAATGTAAAGTAAACTGCCTAAATGTATCGTACACAATATAGTATTAGCCAACATATAGTGCTATTTAATATCAGCACCCTTTTGTCTTATTAGAGAAAACAATACGAAATAGTTCAGTAACATCGAGTACGATCTACAAAGCACAGCTCTGTCTCCGGAACACAAAACGCTTAGCAAAAGTATTTCCCTTCAGCGAGAGAAAACAATGCTTCTCGCGATACAATACCAATTAAAAAATTAAACAGTTCGCGCAGAACCCCAACAATTTATTGAACTACCAATTTATTTTCTCTTTCTTCAACGAAATTGATTCTTTGTCATTGTACCTAGTTCAAAAAAGAGTTTTCTTTTGTTTGCATTTAACTATGAAAATGCATTGGCTTTGTTGACATTATAATGTTTTCCAACCTTTAAAACTCAGATACTTTTTGGTAATTCAATGTAATTCATGCATTAACTGACGTCCTAAGACTGTTTTATTTTCAACCTGGCCCCAAATACGGTATTTTACAACTAGTCAAATTCAATACTTTTATCGAAACGTCAAAAATGATATTGTTCTATGAATTTTGTACCAAAAACTAACTTATGACGTCATCATATTCTAGAGTCACATTATTTCTGAAAAAATTGTAAGTAATAATCGAAAATTAAGTATATCGTCAAATATATGTATGAAATTGTAATTATTTTTAAATATTTGATTGGATTGAAAAATGAAAATAATTTATTTTTGACTCATGAAAATACCCAATTGTACCTAATAGCTAGGTGTAAGAAATCAGTTTCCATTTTTAAAATAGTCATAACTTTATGCGTAGTAAACGGCAATGCAATAACGTCATCATCTAGTTAGTAGATAGAGATAATACTAGTCCAATTTTGATAAATTAGGCTAGTTTAAATTGTTGATGAAATTGTTATTAGTTGATTAAAATAACAATTACATCAAAATGAAAATACAACGCAATTAAACTGGAATAGAGAGATTCAACTAGAATTCAGTACTCCAATACAAAATTTACACGCAATGTGTGAAACAGAAGTTAATTTAATTTGATGAAACTAGACTGGAGTGCTTATTGGCAGGCAAGCTGTACAATTTACAGGCTATATCTAGAACTTTCCCAGGCAACACGTATTGTATAGCCAACCTATTTAGTAGCTCTATTTGCCACATGTTCTAGGAATTTTCATGAACCATTTTACAAAGCTAGTTTTGTACCGTCGGACTGTAAACTACTTAATTCACATTGTCTGTTCGGACTTGTTTCGTAAACTGTCTATGTGTTCGCTTAGAATTATTTCATTATAGTGAATTACACTGTAAATGGGTATATGTATGTGGCTAATATATATCTACTACTCTCACTACTCTGATTATAAAAAAAGTACCCAAATAAAATCTTTGATATACTTTCTTTATTACTCTAACCAAAACGAACAGCTTTAATGAAACAGAACAGTTTTGAAAAAGTTTATCGATAATGCAAAACACACAGCCTGAAACTGGAACGAAATCGGCTTAATTTAATTTGGTATCAGAGAATTTCGAAACTGTGTTCACAGAGATTACCTTGGAACTCGGGGAGAGTATTAAATGCTTTGTCGGCAGCATGTATATTTCATAAGCCACGTGACGAAGTTAGTTTGTCCTCCCGGAACACGTCTCGCTGTTGCCGCGATAGCTGTGTGCGGAACAGTGCGCACAATAGCCCCAGGCCTCCGCTGACTCACCAATATCCGCGCCGCACCGCGCCGCCTCCACTTCGCACTACCATAACCTTGTTTTTATTGAACACAAGAACAGACGCTCTAATGGAGATTCGTAGTCGACTGACTTTTCGCTTTTATTGACGATTATACCCATAACTTTTCCAGTTGCTTCGTTACTATAGCTCTGCAGATACTAGTAAACCATCGTTTTGTGATCGTCTTCAACTTCAGATTTTATAAAACTGAAACATAAGGAGTTATAACGAGTTTGACTTTTCGGTGAAATATTCGCAAGTCTGATTAAAGCCGGTCGTGCCAAACCGTTGGGTGTGTCTCGTGTAGTTTCAGCGCACATATTTGGAGAATACTTTAAACTTAAGTCATAAAACAAAACTTGGCGTAATAAATCTGTACGAAACTCATTTGGGTTAACTGAAACAGAAGTCGATATCCGACTAAGATATGCTAATTACTGACGAGTTTATTCGTAAAACTTGATCACGGAAAATGCCTTCTAAACATTTGCGTGATTTCCAAGGAGTTTGTAACGAGTTTTTCATTCATATAATGCAAAAGCAAAAGTACCAACAAGCTTTAAAATCGTTGCTCTTATTGGATTTTCTTGTATATAATATGTACTTAGTTACAAATGCTTACTTTTAATTCAATTCATCTAAATATAGCTAAGAATTAGAAACGGACGACATTTTCGCTGATTCGCATTTACTCAAATTAAAGGCAAAAAAGCTTCGTGAAATGGTGACGCAGCAATATGGCGTCTTCGATATTTGCAACATTGGTAAAATTCTTTTGAAAGGTTCTAGATTAAATTATATGCCGACTATTACGAAAAGTTTTTATGTCTTGACAAAAAACTATTTATCTACTTACTATGTATGTTATCGAAAGTTTCATAAAGTTTAGACGATATGTAAAAAAATAGGTACACAGTCAAACTCCTGAACCTGTGTAAGAATTAAATGATAAGTATCTAAACTTATATGAAATTGTATTACAAAGTGTGATTTCTTTCACAGGTAGAATTTCACACAACAGAATCGGTGGTAACTGTGGACTGGGAGAATGGATTCGTTGAAGCTTCGGCGAAGGATAACGTGAATGTGTCGCAGATCTTCAAGGAATTACTGGTGCAAGCCAAAGTGAAGTACAACCTGTCTCCTGCGCTGCGTCGGCGGCGGCGGCAGTCGCTGCCCACTGGACCCCAGGGACCCCCAGGGTCAAGCCCCACCCCACCTGCGCATGCGCCCCACGTGCCGTCACCCGCTCAGCTCGCACACCTGCAACAAATCCGCGAGCGACACAACAGTAAACGTAACTCTTGCGTCATCTCTTAGACAAGACGCAGGCGCCGATCTTTTCAGTGTTAGTTAAGGATCTCGGGTAACTTTCGAATTTTCTATACGTACCGATAAAGCTATTTATAACTCTAATTAAAGTGGACTTTGTATTTGCTCTTTAGTCCGTACGTAAAAAGGGCATTTTTAATCATCGCACTGGAGAAATTGATCTTGCTGTAAATAAAGAGTCAAACTGTGTAAAAGCGATCCCTTGCAAATCTTTTTTTCTTCGACTTATCTACATAACGTGTCATTAGTAAAGGGATCTTTCTGAATGGCCTGTAGTGGAGATATATTTAGCAGAAATAAATCAAATACGACAGCGAATAAAAAGAAATAAAAAAACCGTTACCTACATTGTGCCAACAAAACAATTATTTACAGTCTGACGTTTTTGGGTGTAGAGTGAGTTAGATCAGTGAAATACCGCAAATTTATTCATGACAGCCTTCTTGTAGTGATTGGGGATGCTAGTTTTAGGCACGGACCGCAAGAGTACTTTGTATTAGATGTTCATGAAAATTATCTGTCGTCGCTGTTTTCTTCAATCTTTGACATAATAGCCCCGATTACCTAAACAACTAATTTAAGTGAATGACACTTGCAAAAATAATTAATCATATTAAAATACACAATTTATCTTTTATCCACCAGAAATGTATTATAGGTACTTCCAATATATGGTTGATGAAATAATTTGCACGAGCAGACGTCATCTGTCTCGCCCCGCCCAGTTCATCGTTCCACAAATTTACGATTATGTTAGGCAATAAAAACGTTTCTTAAGTGATATACTTAGACCCATTAAGATTTGTCCATTCCTTCGTGATGTTTCTACTTTATATGTGTAACTAGATAAGTAGTGGAAATAACGCCAACACACAGACAAACTTTTAAACTTAAGGTTCTAGTGTAACAGAGTGACAATGTAGACAAAGTGATAATGTAGAAGTGACGGGTATTCGTGACTGGTTTATATTCTAGGATTATAGTATATTCTAACTTATAGGTAAGGTAAGACGTAGACTTGGGAGGAAGGAGTCACGACACGACTGAGTTCCACGTATCATAACAAGCAGGAGATAATAAGTCGGTATCGGATCTGTCCTAGGCAATCCTCGTCAGAGACACGCCTATTTGAGTACGATGATCTCGTTACAATAAATTACTTCGGAAAGAATAATAACCTAACGAGGGTGTGTTACAACCCCAAATGAGGTAACAACGGCTATCCGATTACTTAATGTAACGGTAATAATGCTCTATATGTACGTAAACATTCCGTTTGCCAAACAGTATTAATGAATTTGTGGATCTTATATCAATATTGTAACTAATCGATAAAATAATAATTCATTCAATGTGTATTAGATTTAACAGACTTGTAAGTTGTCGTTGTTTGACTTGTTCTATCTGACTTCAGCTAAACATTATTGTAGGTAAGACTTTTATCATAACTTTAACATTAAGACGGAAGTTTCTCTCTCTATTCGTTCTGTTGTCTGAATGTACTTTTCATTTTCTGAACCAACATTAAAATAAATCGATGTGCAACTCTATTTTAATTCAGATAATTAGTTGCAGTCGTGAGGCTTATTGTGTATTTAAAATATATTGTATAGCTCAAAATAATCTATATATTTTTCTGATTTATCGATTATTTTAATATTTACACTTCTATAACTCAGATTGCTTTGTTTCAAGATGAGAAACTTGTCTTAATTATTCATTGAACTTGAACGTATGTTATCATACTTTAATATTGTATTAAACTTGTGTATACTTAAGGTGAGATCAGGGTTGTCAATAAGTTGAGAATCTATTAAAACTTAAACTTAATACTCCCAGAATAGTTTGGCCAAATCCGACAAAAGGTAAAATTAATTCACGAAACCTGTTCCCCAGTAAAAGCTGCAACCCTAATCTCATCGGGACCTCCTGAGAGTAATAATTAATTACTTAGGTTACGGCAAATTTGATTACTGTAATCATTTCAATAATGCATTTGTTCTATGCTTTATCATTTGCAATTTTGATTTACTTTCATCGTAAACATAATTAGGAACTGTTATTCTTATATTCTTAATTACATTCTAATATTTCAAATTATATGGATGTGCCTTTTTTAAAATATTAGTCTTCTTAGTTGGTAGAAATCGTAGATTTTGTTGTTATGTCCAAATATCCAAAATTGTGCTTGAAAAGAGAAATGTGTTCGCTTCCTTCTATTGCGTTTCAAAAACATAATGTAGTTTTAATGTTAGTTTATTAGAAGAAAGGTAGATATAATCTATATTTATTATTAAATTTGAATAATAGACGATAGTTTTTCAGAAAATATGTGGTCTATCGGTGTTTGTACCTTGATGTACTTTTAGCAGAGGTCTGCGCACATTTACTTGTGAAAGTTAATACATAGCAACATATTATGATCTAAGACATTTTTTATGATCCTTTGTATAAATATAACGGAACTGTTCGTGAAACTTAGCACAGATGGATTTGACATGTGTAGTATGTGTATAGATGTTCATTTACCAATCAATTTAATAGTCACCTACTTATCTAATGTACTACTTTTAATGTTCATGTGTTTCAAATACAGGAATCAACTTCAACGTTTGTACCGATGTAATACAATTGTCTCTGAATAAAATAACTAACTTCTGAAACAGTGATTTTGTTCTCATAAACACTTACTTTTTACTTTCAAGAGAAAAACGGAAAAATACAACGACATTATTTCCCAGAACACTAAGAAAGACAGTTTAACTTTATAATTCGGTTTGTTAGAGGACAAAGTAAGACGATCGTGTCCAGAGCGCGTAACTAGAATACTTTCAAAGAAAAATAATTCGATTAATGGGCTTTTACTTTCGAGTGTCCTCTCGACAAACTCACAAAGAGTACAGCCAAGAGTGAGAAGACAAAGGATGGTAGGAAAGCTTAAGATTGTCAACGTGGAAATGCAACGGAAGCAGATCGTTGGGAGGATTGGGGCGCGGTGGCGGACGTCGGCTTCAGGTGAGTTCTGTACACAACTCGGTAACAGGGTACTGTGCTTCAGTACATTTAGTTATTAAGTCACAATTAAATGTGCTCTTAGGTGGTTTGTGCCGTGCAGTGCAGGCGCCGCACACGTGTCGGACGAGTGCGTGCGACGGGCGGCGGCGTGTCGACGGCACGCAGCAGACGCCTCGCGACACTTGTTGCGCAGCGCGCGATCGATAGCCTCCCACCACCCACCTCGCCCACCTGCCGCCTGCCCATACCTCCCTTACCCAACATAGACACTTTCCATTCACCGCCGAAACCATCCTCATACCCTTTGTGACCAAACAATTCACGAAAAAGAAAAATCTAAGCCACATTTATAAATCAAAATTTCATACTGTATCTCTTGTTAGTAATAAAAAATCTTATATTTTTTAATAACAGTGTTCCCAAAATATCGCACGATTTTCAGATTCTGTTAAGTGGCATTGTCAGGTTTATAGTCTACATAAATCGTCCCCACTGGGAGGCAATTCCGGTCGAGGGGCTTTCACTCCGCACTAATGAATAAAAAAGAGGAATTATTGCATTCCTTAGGGAACTTTGATCGGAGTATTTAGAGATATCAACAGGTACTAAATTGCCTTTTCAAGATAACAATTTTATTTAACATTGTGTGACCTTCACCTTCACTTTGTCGATGGTATAATAATACCGCCAAGGTATTGTGAAGCTAAATAAATATGGTATATCTCTACACACTATATGCATTGTATTAACGTGTGTATGTGCGTATAACTGAACATTAATCGCTTCATTATGAAACTCAGCACGAACCGCGGTTCGCTCGTAATATCCGAACACATGTGCTACAGCCGATTAGCGCGCAAATCCGTAGCAAGGCGTAGCCACGTAGCCGCGTAGCCACGTAGACCCGCGAACAATGCTTCCCTCATTCTGATTTACTAAACGCAGCTGTTCGATACAACACGGCTAACAACTAACTGAAGCGTTGCAAAAGTTTTATTTAATTTCAAATGTAGGACTTCCGTATAAATCTGACATTTCACAATATTGCTGAGTATAACGCGCGTCTCCTCTCTCCTCGTCGGGAACTCTTTTCATAAACTTGCATGCATAATAAACAACGCGCTTTGTGGTGAACTACAATGCCAGAGCTCTGCGTTCCGCTTGCTTTTACCATTTACAAAGGTAATTTATCTTTGCGAAGAATGTTGTTCAATTGTCAAGTTAAATAACTTTGTTGATTGATTCTATAAACCCGTCACCATCAAGACGTGCTTTCAGTATTCAGAAAGCTTCTGTAAATTTGAGTATTTCAATTCAAACTGTTAATTGTGTAAGGCTCATTCAAATCGCGTAATAACATTCGGCGTAAATTTCCTTTACGTCTTATACAAAAGGTTTCACAAAGGTCGTAAACATTGTTTACAGCGAATATTCGGTATTACAAATCAAAGGAAATTAACGAAACGTTCCAAAAAGTAATAAATATTAAGAGTTCTTCAGACGTTTCTCAAAGTTTTGTATCGGGAAACAAAGTTCAATATTGAACGGAACGGTGGTTTTATTTACTAGGTTTTTTAATTAAATGACCCTTGTCAGCGGGGTTCCGCGGAAAGTTTTCACTTAAGGATCGTCTGACACAGCACTAAACCGTCAGCACAGAGCCAGCCGACAATTAATGTCGCCATTAATTCTGATACTATGACGGTTATATCTTTTATTTAATAAAATACGCGTTAGAAATATTTTATGAGACAGATTAATCGTTCACGTGAAATCGTCGACGAATAAACCTGTAGGCGGCTCCTTAAATACAGATAATAAAATGGTCTTGACCTGAAATTTTGCATTGTTTACTAACGAAAAGAAGTAAAATTTGTACTAAATTCTCCGCTACTTTTGTCCACAAATCCAATATCTGCAAGAAGGTTCAAATGAAATTACTATTTCATTATGAGATAATAACGAATAAAACTCGGTTAAGGGACGTCGATTAAAATTTATTCACTACAATTTTTGATTTGCACACATATTATGCCCGACCCAGGAATAAAACCCGATACCCTTTGCTCGGCAGTCGCATTTGCAACCACTCGGCCAATGAGGCAGTCAGGTAGGCCGTTAAAAAAATGTGAAGTGTACAAATTGCTCAAAGATATCATCAACAAAAAAGTATTTCTTTTTTTAATTAATGGCCTCCTTATACCAGATTGTTTGAAACAGGTCGTTAAGTTTCACCCTCAAAGTCTTTTTAAAAATGATACCAACTAACCTTTATTATTCTTTTCCTTTCAATTAATTTTAAACCGTAAATGAAAGCAATAAGGCGCAACGTTTTAACCCACCCTACTTTTCACGTTTACAAGACAGTTAATTGCGTTTTTAATGTTCATCTAATTCACCTTTTAAAGCATAAAAACTTAAATAAAAATAGAGCATCTTACTTTGAAGTTTTAATAATTTAATTGTTGCCTCTATCTCCTCTTTTTATTAGCTACAAGAATTTTGTCTCTTCTACAACCTTTATAAATATTTATTTACTTACATAAAACTATTTTTAACAATGAAAAAATTAAGAATTGGTCCCAAAATATGATGATGTTATCTTAATATTGCTGCCGTTGAGGTAATTTTACTAAACCCGTATTATTGGTTAATATCTAATATTCACAATATCTGTATAAGAATAATATTTATTAAATCTTGGTAAGATTATTTCACATTCTTATTGACTGAAGTTAATAGTAACATTAGCAACATTAGTCTGTATTTTTGTGTAATTACAGCTTATATTTATATTATTGATAAATTAATAAAAGACGACTTAGGTTGCTACTTACTCAATGATTTACTTACTTGTATTTCGGAATCACATAGGGTCGTAATAGACTCTTTTTTGCTTTAATAATGTCACCTTCGTTCAGTCTATTCTAACGTGTCTGACGTTCTTCGACTAGAAATTGTGTCCTCATTTACATTTAGGTATAAGGCCAGCCTTCATTACACGTGGTTTTCGTCATCCAAGATGTTTACGGCTGGCTGTATGTCATAATTTAACTAGGAACCGTCATAAATGCCTGAATACGTGCGGCTTATGATTTCGTGTTCCTTTTACGGTGTACCAAATGAATATACAACTTCACACCTTACAAATAGTCGGCTTGGGACAGTAAGGACTGACTCTTTATGAATGTCACATTTATTTCAATATTGTAATACCAAATACGAATATGAAAATGCCTATAAGAAGCTGAAACTATGTTCCTTATATAGTACGTTTGTTTACCAAGTTATATTAAACAATGTGTAAACACAACTAAGTATTATTGCATAATCAGCATATTCTAATATTGCATACCTACTCGAAAATTTTAAATTACGTGTATAATAATGTCAAGAGGTTTCAATCGAAATCGACCTACTTTTTTATTTCTTCTTTATGCGTCCCTTTTATTTCCCCCAGTATTTTATTTCATCTCATTTTAAGAGAAACTTAACAACGGTTGTTGACAACTGATCGCTCAACTTGTCATTGGCAACCGAAAACGTAAAACCCTCCACTTGGTCGTCCCCTGCCCTAATATTAAATTCTAATAGGAGGCATTTTCTGATCACTTCGACTCAAACGATAGTATCGTTTATCCTTTACAATACAAATATAAAAATAAATACTTTTCAGTCTTCCTTGTACCCCACTGTTTTGCAGCCAACAAAATCCCTCAGGTAATTGTAATATTTTATTCGAAGACACCGTAGCCTTATACACTTCGTTCTAAATCTAAACGAATAGTTATTGCGAACTTGAAACATGCATTATCTCGAATCGGAAACTCCCTAATCTAGATATAAACTTGTTTCTCTCGATGTTCACCATTCTCAGAAAACCTTGCAATATTGAACGGTCAATTTGATTGGATACGCTCGGCACAAAAACTGTGTAACTCAAAAAATCAAGCGCTCGTGTTTTCGTACGTTTACAAAAAGTTTTCCGCGTGAAGAGAGTTGTACGGAGATCAAACATCGTGCATTAGATTCAATTTATTGCTTCTGTTCTCTGGTGTAGAAACGCAAGTACAAAACGTCAAAGCGTTTTTACATCACGTGATAATAGGCAATAGAAAGGCGGAATGTTCTTGCACTCAAATCTTACACAGATTAGCCATGCCGTGAAAATATTGCGAAGACAAATTCACGCGTTTAATCTTACGCATTCCCTTGCGTTCCAGCAATCAGATAATCTCAGATATGCCACACCCTCGCACACGGTTCGGTTAGCAGACAGTATGTGCCGGGTGCCACGCGTGAAACTGTAATTACGAAAGCTTTCACACTTGTGGGTACAATTCTTCAGATTCACATACAATATAAGCGCGTTCATTTATTTATTCCACGTGGGTGATCGCATCTGAGTCTGCGGCTTAAGATATGTGGTGCCAACGATAAATTGAAAAGGGCTTATAATAAACGGGATTGGAATAAAATTTAACGTCTCCCTCGTGGTTTTCTTTAAAATTTATCCCACGTATCGCACGTTGGTATATTAAAGCAGCTACTATTTTTATTTGGAGAAAATAAGTTTTAAAAAGTTTTGCGTTAGACTGATAAAGTAAGTAAGCGAGTACAATCTTTACAAGACTGAGAATGAATAGCGTTCCGAATCTCGTGAAGCGATTTATCAAAGAGTAAGTAGAGAGCGAGTGATCATTGGACAACTCACTCTGCCTAAAGTAATATATTTATAGATCGGATATGGCTCAGACCAAGAAACAGCTAAATGTCCATGACAGATGGCTGTGTGACGAAGGATACAAAAAAACACAAAAAAACTGATAAAGTAGTAAAAATTTTACAAACAATCGTCTTAAAAGATAGGTATATATTTTAAGAAAATTTACTAAACACGTGCCTATTTAATGATTAATTTGTAAAGCTAGTTTGTACCGTAGTATGCTTTGGTATCGATTTAAACAAGTACTTGAGTAGCTAGACCCTACACCCAACACATTACCTTTTTAATTTGCAGCCAAAATATACAGCTGTGACTTATTAAACAAGTACACTAAGATAGGCATCGAAACATTAGCGTCGCAATTATTTGCTTATCGAGGCCAATCGCGTGTGGCATGCGAAGAGGGTGTTAGGAACCTGGCCGGTCCGGTGGACGCCCCGGCGCGGCGCCATAATTACTCGTCATATTAATTAGCTGTATGTACCTAATACAACTCTGTAAACAGTAACAATCTGAGCTGGAATTCCAGACTCAAAATTA